GGCTGCGCTGCGCGGCTCTGGGGCGCGGGGCGGGAGCGGGGCCGTGGGCAGAGGCCGGGCCCTGCCCCCCCCGCCTCTCGTATTTTCTCGTGTTCTAATGCGTTTAAGGCTCTTGTGTTTCCTGGGCGCGGCTCAGAGGTTTGGGGGTTTCCGGTGGCCTCCCCGCCTTGTAATCCCGACTCTGCAACTGTTTCACAAAATGGAGGGAGGGACTTGATGAAAAAGAGCGTGTAGCGATAGGGTGAGGGGTAATACGTGTTTGAACTGGAAGAGGTGGATTTAAATTAGACATTTAAGAAGAAATTCTTCCCTGTGAGGGTGGGGAGAGCCTGGCCCAGGTTGCCCAGGGAAGCTGTGGCTGCCCCATCCCTGGCAGGGTTGAAGGGCAGGTTGGATGGGGCTTGGAGCAGCCTGGGCTGCTGGGAGGTGTCCCTGCCCATGCAGGTGGCTGTAACGAGATGAACTTCAAGGTCCCTTCCAACCCAAACCAGTCTGGGATCCTAAACACAACCCTTCTTGTCCCAGTAGACAGGGCTGTGCTGGTGTTGTCAGTGTCCTGCTGTGCACTGAAGTACTTCTGGTGAGACAGGTTTTGAAAGCTTGGATGTTGCTGCTGTTCATTATTCAAAATATTTAATACCTCTCTGATGGAGTCCAGTAAGTAATTACTGCAGAGGCTTCTGTGTTCCCCGTCTGCAGGTGGAAGAGCTGGCTCTGCAGTCCATGATCAGGTCCAGGGAGGAGAATGTGACAGTCTCTTCATCAGCTCTTGCAGAGGAGACTCAAAAAGTAAGGGACATCCTTGCCTGGTGACAAGGGAGGGTCTGGCTGTCCCCTGCGATGGGCTCTGTCTGTGTCAGCCACAGAGACAGCTCTTTGGTTTAAGTGGTTGTAGATGTTTCCATGGGTGGTTTTTATCTGGAGTGCTTATTATTGACTTTGTTTATGCTGCTCATTAACTGAAAGGTGCAGCTGTAAAATATGACTGGTTTGTTGCTAGTTTATATTTGAAGGGTTTTGCTTTTTCCCATCCCTGAAAGCAGCATGTTGTTTCCAGGGGGTTTGGAAATACCTGCTTTATGCTGGCATAGCTTCAGTTCATTGTTTATTTAGCAGTGTGTCAAATCCACTTAACTGTGACAGGCACATTTAGCTAGCTGACTGCAAGGGTGGAGGTACAGGTACCTTCTGAACCTCTTACTAAATATATGGTCAGCCTGAACTAGTTCAAGCTCCTCTAAGGAGAATGGGTGCCTGTCACTGATGGGCTCACGCAGGAGCAGCTTCAGTTCTGAGATTTCTAAAGGACCCTGTGACTGGGCAGTTTTAATAGTGATTTGAGAAGTGTTCAATATCACTGCTGGTCTTGATAATTAGAAAGTTAAACTCTTTTATTGTGACAGACTCTTGGGCAGATGGACAACGAGGCTGCTATCAATCAAACTGAATTACACCTAAGTCTTCAAGATCATGAAGAGGAGGAGGAAGAGGAGGAGGAATCAGATTCTTGAGAGAGAAAAGTCAGAGATGGTTTTGAGTGCAGACTCAGGAATTTCTTCTTCATTCATATCAAATTCACCAACTGTTTTTCACTTTGTCATGTACATGCATATGAACTATGTGATGTGCAAGACTTTTGGAGTCTAGGGAGTTACACCTGAACACAGGAATGTCACAGTTGACACATCTTGACTTAGATGTTAAAAGAATGAGAATTTTCTGCAGCAATATGTAGCATAATCCATTCCACATTTAAAACCTGATGTATCTTTCTACAACCTGCTATGTGAGTGGGACAAGTCCTTAATTGATTCAGACCAATTTAACATGTACACTAAAAGCAATAATTAATCTGTTGTTCTTTCCTGATGCTGAAAAATAAAGCCAGGCCCTGGATGGTGGTCGCTGAATCAATTATATTTTAACCTAATTTGCTTGAACTGGAAATTTTAAGACAGGCAGTGAGATGTGTCCAGGATAGTCTCCAGGCTTTCCACTGCTGTGTTCTCAGTTCCATGGGAACCTGGACCCAGGCTCCCTGTGCACAGATACTGTGTCAACTGAATCCTGAGGCAGCCTCTCCTTGTACTTACTGGTGCTCTGCTTAGGTACTGTCAGTCTGACTGAAACAGTGTAGTATTTTCTACTTCTGTGTCAGAGTAGCAGCCAATTAGCCTTTTATTTAGTCACAAATTGTGTGGCAAGAACTAGTCCATGGCACTTATAATAAGGGACTAATACTGTTAAATTGGTGTAATTTTCTTTTTCCCTCACAGTAACTTCATAAATCAAGCTTGAGTCCACCATCTGCTTTCAGTTGATCTTCAGGAAGGAGGAGTTTAAGACCTTGGTTATAAAATGGAAAGAGATGTAAAGTCTCCTTCACAACTCATTTAATGGTTCAGTAACAAGTTGGTGCTGCTCTTACCAAGAAATGACAGGCTTTTTCTGCTCATGGAGTGCAGAGACCCTGTGGTGCAGCAGAGTGTTTTATCAGATCTTAAATACTTGTTTTAAAGCACAGAAACCCAAACTCTGTTTAGTGGATTAAAAACAATAAAAGTAATATTCTAACTCTGCCACTTTGTCAACTGTCTTACTAGGAGAATAGTTATATCCAGGATTGTTCATTGCACAGTGAGTCTTTGTCATCATTCAAGAGAAAAGATAAAGCCTACTGAAGTTTGCTTTTAAGAGCAGGAAAGGAAATTGGAGAAGTGTCCTGGGTGTGGTCAGAACACACACTTCAACCTCCAATGAGTTCCTGCCACTGCTTGAAGAGAGATTTGTTTATTTGTGAGAGAAACTGTATGTTGGGATGTAATTGGCTTCAGCCTGTGCTAGGGACTAATTGGTTTTTGAAAACTCTGGCTGTCTTGGTGAAAGGGTGCAGACCATTCAGCAAAGCTTTCCCAAGATTCACAGGTAAAAAACAAAAGGTCTGAGCCAAAAATATTACATCTTTGCATGTCAAAGAGTGTGTGTGAGGAGGTGGTGTGTGAGGCAGTGGGTGGGCAGGTTCTCGCTCCTGTGCAGGTGACACTGCTCAAGCTCAGGGCACTTCCCTGGACTTGTGTCTCTGCCTCCCAGCAGGACCATTTGTTGCCTTCCCTTTCCTTCGTGGCACCTCACCTTCTGCAGGAGCTGCTCTAGGGCTTCCTCTCCAAGGGGTGGTTGTGGCTGTTGTCACTTGTCCCCAGCATGTTTTAGAGAAGTTTCTGTGGCTATCCTTTGTATCCTTTCCTCCTGCTGTCTTTTGTGATGAACTCCCTTGCTTGCTGCTGGATTGAACAGACCAGCTCAATTGCATGTTGCAGTAAAGTACTTCTGGTGTGCTGCTACATGTATTTGTGCTTGCAGTGTTCAAGTTGGTGGTTGTGGAGCAAACAAGTAAAATTGGATGTACATCTCTGAAAACCTAGACACACTGCACCTTTATTTTACCAAATAGTAAAGAATACTGCTGTAGTACTTTAAAGCCAAGAACAGATTTAAAATTAAACTGCACAGCCTTGTCATCGCAGTCACATTCAAGTGCAGACAAGCTGAGGAAGCCTTGGACATGTCAGTGAGTCATTTCCTACTGCTGATGAGCTGAGGGCCACTCTATCCCTGATACTTTATACTGTCAGCCAAGTGGAAGCTCATGTCTAGAATGATTTGGATTCCTTGTGGGAAGGAATTTCAGCCATTTCCAGGTCAGAAACATCCTTTCACAGAGCCATGCTTTTTATAGTGCTGTTAAGAGGGCAAGACACTGTCCTGAGGAACCTCTCCCTGCCCTGCTGATCAGCAGAAGCAAGAAGGTTGCCAAGTTGCTGGCAGAGGCTGAACCTGAAGAAGTGATTTAGTACCAACACTCCTGGTGAAGAACAGATGCAGGCACGAAGGTCCTTCCCCTGGGGGATGGATAGCAACATTCCCGTGTCCACACAGGCAAAACCTCTGGAGTCAGGCTTCTCTTGGACATTCCACAGAAAGCCTGTAAACAGGGTGTTAACACACTGCAATGGCAGCTAAGGATGTTGCATGGTTGGGGAAAAATACACAGAAAAAGGGTGTGCAATACAGCAGTAACTTAGGGCTAAGACTGGTTACATTTTTGAGTTTAAAAAAGCTTCAAGAAGTTACTTGATAATATATTTATTAAGAGAATCCATTGCTAAACATCTGAGAGAATAAAACAATAGAGGATCTTCAATACACTTTAGACACAAAACACAGTTGTCATGGATTTTCAGGTTAAAAGAAAGCAAATTGCCTGGATGTTTGCCTTGATTCTGTAGGAGACTTCCAAGAACTGACTTAAAAATCAATTAGACGTACGCCACTAAATCCAAGCATGATGATATGTTTTAAAAATAAATACAGAAATATGAACAAGTCTACAATTAGAATATTTCCCTGTACATTCCAAGAAATGCAGAGCTCTTGCCTTCTTTACCTGGAAAGAGAGATCTCAGAACAACAGCAACATTGGAACCATTAGGCCTAACTTTCAGATACAGTTTGGCAGCAGCAGAAGCATGCTCAACAGAGACAGTTTTGGAGCATCCCTAATCCTTTTTGCAGGGGAGATTAGGTAAGCATGATTGAAGTACCAACAATTTACAAAGAATCTTGATAAGGTTCAAACAAGTGAGGGGTTAATACCCCCACTGATATTTTCATTAAGAAAGAATATCCATAATCACTTAAAATCAGCAAGCACTGTAACTTAAACATCTGAACATTTTGGTCAGTAAACTAATGCAATCCAATACAATACCAAGTAGTTTATGACAAAGTTTAAAACCATTTGGCACATGCTATAAAGACATTCTTCCTTAAGAGGTGAAATACATGTTTGAACAGGTACAAGCTGAGGAAATAGGACCAAAATAGCATTGTTGTTAACAGATGTACAGTACAGGATTTGCTCTTCCACGTTCAGACTCCAGCAGCATGCGTGGGTGTACTGGGCTGGTTAAGGCCTATGGTTGAACAAAGCCACCCCGCAAAATCCACCTCCTCCGCTTCAGATCTCTTAATGAAAGCATGAATCTGAGCAGAGGAGAAGCACAGCATTATTCAAGCACCCAATCTCTTAAATAATCATTTTTAATAACATGAACTACAATCAATCCAGTTTACTTACGGTATTCGAGCTCTAATGCTCAGCAAACCCCTGGCAGTGACCGGGAGAGCCTTCCTGCAGGGTATGTGAAATAACCAGCACCTGAACTGTACCCACTGCAGAGCATTCCAGAGGAACACTGCCTACACAGTGCCTGACTTGCACCATGGCATGAGATAAGGATGTGACTCAGCCAATTGAGATAATACTCAGGAAAATATTTGCCTATGCACAGAAAGGCTTTTAGTTTGAGAAAGAGTCTTGACACGGCATTTTGCACCCTTATTGTACAGCAGGATCAGGGCAGGGAAAACCTGATTTTCTGCAGTGGAATTCAAGACTTGGCAGGACACTGGAGGCCATGAAAATATCCACTGGAAATGATGAGGTCATTTCATGCAGAAAAAAAATATGCAGATTTGTGTCTAGTAGTTCTACATATTTTGCAAGACAAAGTTGATGACAAAGGCAAATCCTGTGTTTCACCAGACAAAAAAAAATAAATATCTAGAAGATGGGGAATTTTGTTATTTTCTCCTACTAAGAGTAATAAACCCACCAGTTTTGGTCTCCTGGACAGCTGCTGTTGCAGGAGTGTGTGAAAGCTTGCAGCCCTTCCTCATTAGATCAGAAAAGTAATCCCCCCATCAAACCATATGAGCTGCTTGTGTCCAGGACCACAAACTACACTCTGGGCCATATGCTCTGATCCTGATCTCAGATCAGCTGAGAAATCCAACCTGCAGGGAGGAGTGCTCTTAGTTCAAGTTAAGAACTTCCACTTACCATCAGCTGCTTCAAATCAGCTCTCTCAGCAGGGTTTTTAATTAAGCTAGGAAAAAAAAAAAGTGTTACACAAGTTTAGTTTCAAAATAAAGATGAAGTATTATCAGCTTGGTGTACAGCTTTGGTCTGAAGAAGGTACCACTCTAGAGAAAAGCAATGCAGTGACTCTCAAACATAGACCAGGGCTGTGAGCAGCTCCCTTCCATAGGGAATTGCAGGAACAGTTCTAGGTACAAAATCCTGAGTTGTCTGACACTGTTCAGGGGGCTGGGAGTGCCTAACCAAGCTGGAGAGATCAAATTCCCATTTAAACAAAACCTCAACAGTATGAGCTGCTTTACCCTTCAAGTTTCTTTTACCCAAGGCATTTCAAGGTCAGTACCAAGTACAGGTATTGAACTACTGTTCTTCCTTTTAAACAAATAGATATATATAGCTTTTAATAATAAAACTAACTTTTCAAACTGTAATGAACTACCTCCCTTCACACTGAACACACAGTGCAGGTACCACTTAAGTACAATTAGAAAAGTACACAGATAGGAGAATGACTGGAAAAATGAAGACTGCAGTCCAGTGAAGCTCTGGGCAAGGAAAAAGCAGCTGCAA